ATCGATTTACTTATTAGAATTTTTTTCCCAAAGTTATACGATAAGTAGTTTTTGAGATGCAGCCGGCGTCCATTCTTAGTTGGCCACCCGGTACAGCTTGCCATACTAGAGCCGTTTGGTATACAAGGAAGGTAATGTGGGTAGCATTACGCTTCAACCGCCTATTATTACCTCAGGATTGTGAATCCCAATTACTCATTTAAGGCTGAGTCGACCTAGGTACCCAAACTATTTTTAGTTTATTAAAAATAGTCGGCTGATGAAATGCCGGCTGTGGGATTTGAACCCACAACCTTTGAATTGGTAAACGAGAGCTGTACCTCTACACCACCGGGCACCTCTATATTTTCTTTACCTAAATTGTCACCCTGAAACCGTTAAAAATTCGGGAAAGTAACCACACGTTTGTGCTTCCTAATTTTGCCTGTTAAAGATGGAGCTGAGATAGTTTGTAACGTAAGTTAAAAATTTTGTATCTAATTTATGAAGTAATTATAACTTTACGTGTATGTAGGAGGGTCTAAACTTTTACTTCAAATAACAAAAAAAGGATAGGGTAGGATCGCCTAAGAGTACGCGTTCCTTAAGAGTACGCAATCGCCATATTTTAAATTCGGCAACTCTGATTTCACGTCAACTGCGTTCAGTTACCGCCAATACTTCTCCGAGAACGATGTTAAAGTTTAGCGGTGTTCGCGCTTAAGGTCATATAAATACGGTAAGCAATTCGTTTTTGCAATTTTTTTTATTATATTTGCATGATTAAATGAAAGCATGACAAATGGAAATGCTTTCCTTCGTTAAAAATCCTTTTATACCCATTAAAAAGCGACTCCTATAGTAGGTTATCATGTACCAATTTTAAGGTTATGTTACATTTTTCTCTAGAAAAGGCCATTAGTGTAATATTCTCACGCGGTCGCCAAGAGTACGCAACCAAAGAGTACGCGCGTACTCTTAGGAACCCACTACATTATTTTTAGATATCCATAGTCCATACTCAAATCCACATCAAAATGGGAAAGTATAAAAGGAAAAGTGACCTAGAACTAAAATTTACTCAGGAAATGTTAGTCCAAGCTCAACAACGTATTGCAAAAGGAGAGAGTAAAAGATCAGTAGCTAAATCATTCAATGTCAACGAGTGTTCGCTCAGAAAGAGGCTACGTTTGGTATATTATACTTAATAGTCGCATTTCAACAGGATTTTATTTTTATAACTTTTAGGGCACTGTTCCAGCAAATTTGGGAAGGTTTAAACCAGTATTTACGGCAGAACAAGAGAAAGAATTAGCGGACCACATTAGCGAACTTGATGTCCGTTTTTATGGATTACGCGTTAGGGATGTAAGATCTGTAGCGTACCAGTTTGCTGAAGTCAATCATATTTCGGACCGATTTGATACAGAAAAAAAATGGCGGGCAAACATTGGGTTCAAGCCATAGACAAACTAACAAAAGCAAGACTTTTCAAAGGATTGAGGAAGTCGAATTATTGTTTTTGCGCTGGCCAGTTGAGTCAGAAATCATCGCGCAGTCGCACTCGTCAAACCTAACCTAAATAAAACGAAAAACGTTTTTGCCTTGAACGAACTGTTGAATTCCTGATTTTGCGTTTTGTTTGCTTATTACTATTATTTTATTAGCGTACAAAACGAAAACAAATAATTTAATACATTTTACATTTATGAAGAACATAATAATTACTGTGATTATACATATTATTGTGATTACATCGCTAACGTAGACAAAACGAAGGTCCTACAAATTGACTGTAAGTTATAAGAATCTCTATCTTTTTAATCTTTTTATGATTTGAATTTTCGTGCTTTATATTTTATAATAGACTCGAAATGTTAATATTTTTGCAAATTCTTGTGAAAATGTGAAGTTTATGTTTTTGTTTTATATTTGAAAAAGTTGTATATTTTTAAGATGTTTCTTGTTGTTCCTATTATTAATATTATAATATACATAATTATTTTTTTGTACCTTTTGAAGAATGCTTTTATTTCGTTTACTATAACTGTTGTTTTTTATCATCTTTTTTGTTATTTTAATAAGAGGAATACGTTTTCGTTTATTTAACTTTTGTTTTTATATCTGTTATGTCCAGAAATTATTGTTTATTTTACCGATGGAAATAAATTTATTTGATTTTAATAAACGCTTTTTAATTAAACATCCTTGTCTAAAAGGCTACTACAAAATACACAATCCATAAGTAAACCGTCCTCGTCTAAAAGGCCAGTTGACGCAAGCGCGGTAATAAACTCTTATCAAACTTGTTACCGTTTTGCAGTACAGCGTTGACGCGTCTTGCTTTTGTTAGTTTGTCTATGGTTCAAGCCTTTGATGCACGAAATTCATTGTCCGTGAGGAGTCCAGAAAAATGTATCCTAGCTCGCACTATTGGGTTTAATAAAATACAATGCGACAGATTCTTTCAAAATTTAAAATCTGTTTATTCGAAAACAAATGCTCCAGCACATAGAGTCTTTAACATGGACGAGACTGGGCTTTTGACGGTCCCAAACAAACTTCCCAAGGTCTATGCTCCCAAGGGTAAAAAAACTGTTACAAAAGTAGTCTCTGCCGAAAGAGGCCAATTGGTCACCGCTGTCTGCTGTATGAGCGCTTCGGGTATCTGAGTGCCACCGGGACTTATTTTTGCCAGAAAGCGCATGAAGGATGAGCTGTTTTATGGCGCACCAGTAGGTACATTAAAGATGATTTCGGATACTGGATATATGAATTCGGAATTGTTTGTAACTTGGTTACGACATTTCTGCGAATTAGTAAAGCCAACCAAAGCTGATCCAGTGGTATTGATATTAGATAACCATGTGTCCCATTGTACGCTAGAAGCCATCTTATTTGCTAGAGAGCATTCCATAATTCTTTTAACGTTGCCTCCCCACGGAAGCCACAAGATCCAACCTTTGGATCGCGGATTTTTCTTCCCATTAAAGTCAGCCTTTGCAATGAATGTGATAAGTGGATGGTGAACAACGCTGGCAAAGCTATCACGATGAAAGAAATGGCCGCTCTCTTCCATGCAGCTTATTCAAAAGTAGCAACCATTCAAATTTGTGAGAAATCTTTTGCGTGCACGAGCCTGTATCCATACAACCCAGATATTTTTACTGAACATGATTTCGCACCAGCTGTGTGGAAAGGTATTTCAAGAAAGATAAGAATAGGCTATAACTCAGTAATTTTTTGAAAAACCGGTCGACTTAATTAAAGTTCTCTCATACCGCCTCTTATTAAAACCTCTTGTAAACCTTGTCAACAGTACAAGACTGTATTAAAGACCAATAAGTGACGTTTCCAAGCTGGTTTTATGTTCCGCGTTGTTCGCACCAAGTGACAAACAAGCCTAATATTGAAGCAGCACCTGAAATGGGATCAACTGAAAGCAACAATAATCAGGATGCAGCAACAACGGATGAAGAAGATAATTTACCGCTTTCTAAAAATCGACAAAATGTTGCTGAAAATTCAGGTTATCAAAGTCCAACACCCACTACTTCATTAGATGCAAGCAGTTTAGATGCTCCTGGCCCTTCTTCAGTAACTCCCAAAATGATTTTGCCTTTTCCAAGTGCCAAGCACGAACAGACAAAAAAAAGAAAGTCCAAAAAATCAGAAATCCTTTCTTCTACACCATATAAAGACCAGTTGTTGGAACAACAAGCAAAGAAAAAACCTACATCTGGTGTAAGAAATGTTTTCAAATCTACAGCTGAAAAATGTGACACGAAGAAAAAAAAATGAATAATAAGGATGATAAGGCAATTTGCCCTGGATGCAACGAACATTTCAGCACTTCAGATTGGTTGCAGTGTCAAAGTTGCCAGGAATGGTGGCATGAAGACTGCTCCAGTTACCAGGGAGGCAGTCAGTTTTGTTGTGACTTATGCGGTTTCTAATTTTTTTATAAACTCTTAGTTTGTTCCGTTATGAATTTTATATTTTAGTTCAGAATAAGCCATCTTATACCAGAGTTAATTTATATTTTTCATGCGTACTCTTGTGCACCTAGGTATCTAAGAGAGTACGCATTTGTTTATTTACTTTTATTTGTTATATTTTACGCATTTTGTTTATTTACTTTTATTTGTTATATTTTTCTTAATTAAAACTAAATAACACATTTATGTCAATATTATCTTACAATACGATCCAATGTATTATGTCAGTATACCAATAAATGATTTAAACAAATAATTTTTTTTTATTGGAAAAAACAAGTTAAGTGCGTACTCTTGAGTGACCCTCCCCTACTTTTTACTATTTTAATGTTAAATTTAGGTGTCCGATAAACTCGTATTATAACTGGAAAAATAACTCTTTTGTTTTAGTCTTTTTCTTGATAAGTGATATGTAATATCTACTATCTTTTTTGTTTAAAATAAAATGAAACATGAAGCCTAAAGTAAAAGGGACTTTTCCTCAATGCAATAAAGATGCACTAGAAAGAACAGTCCAAACTGTCAACAGTACAAGACTGTTTTAAAGACCAATAAGTGACGTTTCCAAACGAATGGAACCAGAACTTGTTTTAACCAGAGAAAATAAAAAAAAATTGTTACCTGGATTTAAAACAGCCCTGTGCGGATTTAGAATAAAAAATCAGGTATTCTTAATAGAGTTAAAAAAATTGTATCTAGAAGAAGAAAAATTAAAAATGCTGTTTACTAATGGAAGTATGGTTTTATGAACCGCGTTGGTATCGTTTAAAAATGAATTTTTAATATAGATAATATACAACAATAAAGGGTATATAATGTTAAAGATTAAATTTGCTTTAAAATTATACATATATTAAATACGGGACTGTGCAGAATCAGCCAATAACAAAGTGTCTGACTTTTTCTACTGACAAAACAGCACTTTTATCACTTAAAAAATAATTAAATATTTATATGGCAAAACAACGTTTGCCGGCTCACCTAGTATAATACAAGACATCAAAATCAAATAAAAGTGGGCCATTATATTAAGATATTTTTAAACATATATTTTTCCGAGAAAAATACTAGTTTTTACTTAAACTAACTATAGCATTAATAACTGTGTACCCTAACTTCCAAACCTAAAATAGATGCATGTTATTTATTTCAAATTGAAGCATATTATACAGGGTGAGTTTTCTACGATGTTCTCTATGGGTATCTCGGAAACTACTGGAGATAGAGAGTCGGTTAAATAAGGAAAGAATTGCAGTTTTGTGGGGTCATAAATATGCGCGTTTCAGATTTTTGAAAAAGTTCATGGCTTACTAGATATTTCGAAAAAAACAAATTTTGGCTATTTTAAAAATTGTCCCAGTTCCATTATAATCTATTTTAGACAAACAGTTTTCAGATTAAAGATGCAGATAATCACAATCACATCCCTAATGAGTCTGTGTTCCCCGATTTTTTCTAAAGCCTGTCATTTCTGACATATGACACAAACATATGTTTTTTTAAATGGAAACCATAGTTGGCCATGACTTCATAAAAAGCGCCATTTTTTAAGCTTTTCGGCGATGTAAGCCATAATGTGTTTTTTTTTTCGAAAAATTACTTTACTTTCGAGTTATAGCCAATTCTTAACATTTTTAAACTATTTCACTTAATTAATTAATTGAAATTCAGTTTTAAAAAGATGCATTTATGTACTCAAAACAATGGCGGATTTTTTGAACTTTTTCTAAAATAAATTAAAGTGTATATAGTGATATTTTTTTTAAGTTATAGTTTGTGTAATGTAAATTGTAAAGAGCCGTTTAATAATATATTTTGTCTTTTTATAAGTTATAAATCATAACAAAATAAGAACACTATGCCGACTAAATGAAATTAGTCAAGAAAGATAAGAATAGGCTATAACTCAGTAATTTTTTGAAAAACCGGTCGACTTAATTAAAGTTCTCTCATACCGCCTCTTATTAAAACCTCTTGTAAACCTTGTCAACTAGAGATGTGTCGTTCGTGAATGATTCGTTCACAATGATCGAATCTTTAGAAAGACTCGTGATTGACTCGGTCAGCTCACGTGACCCTATCAATCATATGACCCGAAACACAAAATCCTCTCCTGCGTGTCTTACTGAATTTGAACCTAAAACAACGATCGGATCATTGAAGATTGAAATGAAAAACGAACCAAACGAACTCTTTTCACGTATCGCGTCGCGTCGCGTCGCGTCGTTCGAATTAAACCCCGGCCCGTTCAACGATCAATGCAAACATCCGAGCCGCATTTTAATATATAATTTACCGTGATTTACGTCTTATATTGTTTTCACATTATTAGTTAATCAAGCTAGGCATCGCGATCGCGATAATATTTCTTCATAATGATTAAGATAAAATCATTCATGCATCATTTCATTCAGCGTTCTGAGTTTCAAATGTTCTGAATAAGTTACACTGAAACACAGTAAAGCGATCATTCATATGAACGAATCATGATGAACGGGTCATTTCAATGAATGACCTGGTGAGACACGGGTCACGGGAATGAACCGGGTCTTCCCATCCCTATTGTCAACCATACTGCATAAAAAAAATTAAATGGATAGGTCAGGTGATCGAGGAGGCCCATGCAATTCGTCCACCTCTTCCTATCCCTGAGTTTGCATAATTATGATAGAAATAATTTTTAACATTTCTTTCATTATTAAAGTTATGTTGGAACCACTCTCTTGATGCGCGAGTATCTAAATTTAACTTTTCTAACATGTCTTGAAAACCGTTCTCTAAAAAACGTAAGTAATGTTCAAACGTTGTAATGTTCATGTTAACGGTCAACGTATCCTCTCGAACATGTATGGCCAAAAAAAGTTGGCTATAACTCAATAATTTTTCGAAAAAAAAAACATATTATGGCTTATATCGCTGAAAAGCTTAAAAAATGGCGCTTTTTATGAAGTCATGGCCAACTATGATTTCCATTTAAAAAAACATATGTTTGTGTTATATGTCAAAAATGACAGGGTTTAGAAAAAATTGGGGAACACAGACTCATTAGGGATGGGATTATCTACTACTTTTATCTGAAAACTTTTTGTCTAAAATAGATTATAATGAAATTAGGAACAATTTTTAAAATAGCCAAAATTTGTTTTTTCGAAATATCTAGTAAGCCATGAACTTTTTCAAACATCTGAAAGGCGCATATTTATGACCCCACAAAACTGCAATTCTTTCTCCATTTAACCGACTCTCTATCTCCAGTAGTTTCCGAGATACCCATAGAGAACATCGTAGGGAACTCACCCTGTATATTAAATATCTTACCGCAACGAATAAAGCATGATTACAAGCCAGTTCATTAATAATAACAATCTTCTCCACTTTGGCGGACTCTGTTATCATCATAAGGAGAGTTCTGCAGTTATCCTTACTCCACGTATACCATGGTAAATCATAGAGTTTAAAATGGAATAGTTCCCACTGTTAACATGCAATAAATTGGTAAAAGAAATATCAAAGCTAGTTCAACCTACCTGATCTTCTGATTTCTGCCCATTATTTAGGATAATAATTGAAAGTTCAGCAACTATCAAGAATAAACATAAGATAAGAAATATATGCACATAGGCCTGAAAAATGAATGAAATTAAAATGAATAAATGTTCGCATAACTTTTAAAACCTTACTTTTAGAAACAGATAGATTGTAGAAAAGCAAAAGATCATTATATATGCCTCATATTTAATATAGGCAACAAACAGAAATTTGTCATAAAATTCATAGAATCTGCAAAATAAATTTCAAATACTATATGTATAATATAAAAAATAAAGCCATGTGATAGAATTAAATAGGTACATAGATTTATTTCAAATTATTTAAATAATTAAATATACACACATGGCCAAAACTATTGCATATATCGTTTAAAAATATACGGAATGGAATTTAAAAAATCTTTTTTATACATAGCTTTGATAATCTGTAATAAACATTTTTTTGTTAAAATGGATATGGTAAACAATGTTTATCGTTCAGACCCAATGTTATTACAAATTCTTGCACATTTCGATTTGTGGTCTCGATTTGAATTTCAGAAGAAATTTGACCATTGTTTTGGCCTTAAAATGCCTAGAAACATTATTTCACAGTTTAATAGAGTCAGACTAGTACAGTGGCGGCTCGTCAGGGTAGGCAACGTAGCCTACCCTAAGATTTTGGCAGAATTTAAGCGATTTATTACATTAGAGTATTTACTATTAATGTTGCCAATACATAAAAATACTGTTAATACACGGAAGTGTGTTTTAATAATCAATATTATTTTATATTTGTGGTCTTGTATATTAACGATATTAATATATTGTTCACTACCGCTGGCGTACGCTGACCGCTGACTGTGCCGCTGCGTTAGAAAACAAAATAATTTTGACCGTTGGAGTAGTGCCTTTGTTCGGCGATTTCTACATCGCCTACTATCAGAGTCGATGCACGACGTACGGCGGTACGTCTTCTGTCTCTGTCTAACTCATCGTGCGGTAGCGACGCGACGTAAGTCTGAGTTGTATCATATTAAGGCGGGGCTTAGGCGAAATCTCCGGTAGCCTTCGCATGAAGTCGTGGAGGCTCGGTAGGCTCTTCAACAATCTGATGATTTTACTGATGGAACAATAAATAACTTTTCTTTATTAAAAGACCGATTCATCAATTTAATATATAAAACATAATTATACTTTCTCTCAATACTACCAATTTTTTTGTTTGCGTAAATAAATAAAAATAAAATAATATTCTATGATGTACTCCATAGTGACTCCATAGTAATAGATAAAAAAAATAATAGATAAAATAGGTTAATAAAAACTATACTTGTACATTATGTCAATCATTATATCATTACATTGAATGCTGTTATTTTTGCTTTAGTTTTGTCCTAAATATTTTTGAGCTATGTTTTTAACCCAGAGATAACATATATTTACAAACTGGTCTAGGGTATTATGTAAATTAGGGAGAGCAAATAGACGCAACTAAAATTTTGTCGCCTACCCAGTCACACGGGTCACGAGCCGCCACTGGACTAGTAACACTGTCTCAACACGGCTACCGTCAAGTTGCAATAACTGAAATTGTAGGAGTTAACCAAAGCGATGTTTCACGAATATTCAAAAAAAATCAGGGAGACAAACGAGGTTACAGACCGACCTGGAAAAGGTAGAAAGAGAGTTACTACTGCTGAGCAAGACCTTCAAATATCCCTAATTGCACGACGCAATCCCCTGCTTTCTGTACTGAAATAAAAAATGAGTTAGCTCGCCTTGAAGGAGTAAATGTTTCAAGAAAGACCATAGCAAGAAGACTCCATGACAGAGGATTACATTTAAGGAGGCCTCTACGTGTTCCGAAGCTTAATTTACAGAACAAAATTACGCTACTACAATGGGCTGAGGAGATGAGAGCAAATGGACTTAATTGGAATTTCGTCATGTTTAGTGATGAAACAAGAATAGATGCATGTAGAGAAGAATTGACGCCTTCTTTAAATTAAAAAACAAGAATAGGCCTAGTGTCAGACTCCTGACGAACCTTGGTCTGGAGAGCATCTGCAGGGAGATGAGCACGCTTGAATGCAGCTCAACCCCGTATCCCGTTTCAATGGGGAAGCATTATGGTATGGACAGGTATAATGCACGGAGCTCGAACTCCTCTTATTTTTATTGATGGCATAATGACAGGTGTCTCATATCTTAGAGACGTTTTAGAGCCTATTGTGCGTCCATTTCAAGGGGCAGTGGGGGATGAATTTGTTTACATGGACGATAATGCTCCTCCCCATCGCACTTTAGCGGTTCGCGAATTTTGTGAGGAAGAGGGTATAAGAAAACTGTGGTGGCCACCGATGTCTCCACATATGAATGTGATCGGGCATGCTTGGGACATGCTAAAACGCCATATTGCCAAAAGGAATGATCTCCCCCTACCTTAAATGAATTGAAAATTGCTGCGCGCGAAACATGTAAAGTCATTCCTCAACATCTTCTGGATAACTTAATTGAGAGCATGCCACGTCGTCTCATAGCTTGCATTGAGGCTCGAGGAGGCAATACAGACTATTAGTTTGTGAGAAATAATTAAAATTGTTTTCAATATTTTCTGTTTAAAATGAAATTTGTTTTTGTTGATTTTCACTCATTATGAAATGAAATTATAATAACAGCCTAGTTGCACTTAGATTTTTAATTTTATATTAGTTAGTCGTGTAGTAAGCCAATATGTCCAAAAATATAAAAAGAATCATATTAGGTCCAAAATAAAATAAAAATATCGTTATATGCAACAATTTTGGCGATGTGTGTATACTAAGTAGGTAACTGCTATTAAATCGCATTTTTAATGTATAAAATAAAGCTTCATTCAGAACTCAAAATTAGTGGTTTCAGTTGGTTCAAATTAGTTTATTGTCGTAATAAATTAAATTGTAGTTACAGATAAAGAGCTTATTAAGTTATAGAGAATGACATTTTCACAAAGCGGTGGCCCTTGGTAACAAAATTTAATGTTAGTAAAATAATATATAAAAAGTTTATTGTTTTACAAGCTAATTATTAGCTTTATCCTCTATTGGTGCCTCAGACTACTGCAAGCTGCTGCTGCTAGGATATAGAGAAATTGGAACAACTTTCGTTGCACGTCATCAATGACATCATGCGTCGTCTTATGGAGTTTGCTGGTGGTCGTATTATGATGTGCGACGAAAGTTATTTTAATTTCCCTATACTTTATTAATTTTAATTAGATTTTTTCAACATTGTGAATGACCGTGAACTCTCAAGTAGAAGTGATATAAATTATAATTGAATTCACTAATTTATTCCACTTATTTAGAGGTTCCGAATGAAGCAAAATGGAAATAACATAGTGGAGGTTTGTAACATCAGGTTTGTATCTAAACTAATTCTTATTTTTCTGGGGAACAAATTGTGTTTAAGGCTCTGAATATCATTCATAAATATTTAATTTACCGTAAATCGGGATAACTTTGGTGCGATTTTTAGTGATTTTCGTTGATATATTCCTTATAACTAGTTTTTCATAGAACTTTAAGTTCTCTTGGTAGCGTAGAAAGTATACGATACAGAATTCGTAAAATACATCTATTTGTAGTTGACTTTTTGAAATGTAAATAAATATGCAGTGTTCAATGCAGAATAGCCAGATTGGGTTATTTATTCGTATTTTAGTTACCCTTTAAAAGTATATAGTAGAGATAACTTTATTTTTGAAAATGCATGGCGAATCATACCTTATATAATGTAAAAATATGAGGAATGTTCCAAAGTTATGCTGCCGTCACAAAGTTACTCCAGTTTACGGTATCATATAAAGCATTTACGCACATAAGTATTCAGTAAATGGAATAAAAAAGACTTTACCTTTTTATTTCGCACTGCCTGGCAACTATTACTTGCAAAGAACGGCATATATACTGATCATACCAATTATTATCCCTAAACTTATACAGCTTTAAATTGTTGACTCGGTCAGTTAATTGTTGAACATATTCGCATAATAAAAAAACTTGTACAATTATTAGATTTATAGAATAATCAATAACCCAGCACGGTATAAATATATTATAGAGTGAAAAGCAAATCAAAATTATCCCTACAGAATTACAAAGTAAAGTCACAACGTAAATATTTAAATCGTATGTATAACTTAGCAACAGGGATTTTCTCAAATCTAAAGCGCTTGTAATTATGATAACAACAATTAAGATTAGAGCCGAGTCAAATATCATTCGCTGTTGAAATCCCATTTCTGCCAACTTAGAGATGACGTTGTGGCCGAAATTGTCTAAAGGCCACTGGCTTCTTTTAATACGAAATAAATAGTCTATGTAAGGATATACACTAAAGATGAGATGTGTATTAACTATTCCCTAAAACCAAAAAAAGTTTCTATTTTTTGTTATTTATCATATGAAGGGTAGAGGGGAAAAACTTGATAAGTGCCAATTTCTTAATTTTAACCATTTGGCAAAAAAAATCTTAATTTTAATAATTTGAAAATTTCAACAATATGGCAACCATTAATTAAACGCTCGAATGCAGGTATTCCTAGTGAAAAACCTCATACTTGACTGCACCCAACTAATTCACGGGTGAATGCAGGGCCCCAAGAACAGTTAACCTTAATAGGACTGCTCATCCGGTCGAAAGTGTCTGCCAGGTGCATGCGAAAACTCTTTGCTTCGTGACGTCATTGTAATCCTTGTCATGATCGTGTGTGTATTATTGGTTGGCGTATGCAAAACATTCATTATTTAGTTTACTTATTTAAACACCTTATATGTACGCAGTGTAAAAAATTAACTGTATAAATCGTTTTAAAAATTCGCATAATGCATTTTTAAGAACAGCAGTTCCCAGCATCACATTTTGCAGGGATTCTTCCATACTTTGCTTTAAAATAATTAATAAACAATATCGTAGGCACTTAGTCACAATCCACAACACAAAATGAACGTATTTATAAACTCTATAGCTCTAGAATCTTTAAAAACACCTTTTTCACATTAAAAATCGACAAAATGATTAGGTAAAAATTTCTCAGCTGCTATTTTTATTAGTTTACCATAAGCAACCAATAATACAAACTCATGACAAGGACTACAATGACGTCACAACTGTCAGCTGAAGCGCGGGAAGAGGCGAACGTACGTCTTATGAGGATGAGCAATCCTATTAGTTTACCATTCTTGGCTCTAGTATATACGCTCAATAGATTTATGAGATATTTTTAATAATTTTTGGGTCGAAACGACGTTGGATGCCGACGTTGGCTAGCAGCCTAATTTAGTACAAACTGCAACGTTGTTTAAAATCCTAATTCACAGAAATACAAAACTATAATAATATGGCGTCTAAGTCGCGTTTTATCCTAAATTGGGATAATTATAGTAAAAATATTATTTTTATGATATAGTTAGAGACATATGCCAGGTGGCAGTAAAGGAGAACAAAACAAAAATATTTAAGTGTGGAGGATGTTTGAAGATCATAATTATTGAAACACTTTAACCGACTCTGTAACTCGTTACCCAAGGCAAAAAAGTTAAACGCAAACAACTTTATTGATAAATGTATTGTTTCTACTTTGAAAAATACTAATGGGCCTTAAAATTAAAGAAGGTTTAGAAAATTTCTTGAATTTTTTTTTAGTAAAATGAGAATAATTTATTCGCAGTCCAAAAAATTGTTTCCGCGTGTTGTTTATGGTCAAATATTTCAAGTTAATGAATTCAAAAAGCAGGAATTGCTATTTTAGGAACGAAACATTTTCTTATTCAACAACATGGCGGCTTTTACTTTGTTGTTTTGGAGATTAATATGGAGTAGTTCGAGTAGTCGCATACTGGACTAATAAAGTCGCAGTTCAGCCATAACAGGTAGTATACTAGTCGCAAGATTGCCTAATTTAGTCATCCTAGAGTCTAGCTTGTGCCGCCCTCTATATTCTAAATAAACGAGGGAGTGTATAAAGTATCGGTAATATGTCGATGTATATTTAAATTTAGTTTTATATGTGCCTTTCTTATATCCCATTTTAATTAAGTTTTTGGTAAGTTTTTTTTATAAAAACAAAAACAGCACTGAACTGTCTGACTGAACAGAACAATGAAGTGAAAATTTAAGATTTAAGGTTATGGTTCAATACAGTGGCAAAAAGGTAGTGGCTCGACGTCCTACCAACGTAAGAATAAGGAAATCTAAACAACGTTGGAATTAGTAAAACAGCCGACGTTTGCATAACGTTGGAATAGGTCCTGAAAGTGACGTCGGAAAACTCTTCATTGCCCAACATTGTAACTACGTTGTCCGAATTACCTAAAGATCACTTAAGCAAAAAAGGTTACAAGACAACGTTTATTCGACGTCGCAGAAACTTTTACTTTGTTTGAAGTACTAGTTCAACGTCGGCACAACGTCACAACAACGTTTACATTTATTTTAATACCTAAGGTATGGAGCTAACTATTTTTTGTAACTAATCCAACGTTGTGTTTAGTAAACATGTGGTCGCAAGTCGTGAAAATGCTACTTGGGTAGGATTTAGTTTAGTTCACACTTGATAACGGTTAGTGATATTTCTGACTGAAACGTTGTGTAAGCAAAATAAATAAAGAAAATGGAAATTATTTTAGTTTCTGTTCTGTTCAGTTCTATTTTAATTCTGCATAAATCAATGCCACATTCAAAGTAATATCATAGTATAAGGAAACTAGTAGCTTTACTCCTTGTCAAATCCTTTGTTCTTTTTTTGCCACTTTATATGACCTTGTTGTCGCCTCCCGTGACCACTGACGTAGCTGTATAGTCGTGTTATATTAACTAGGCAAAGTATAGTCGTGGCACTCGCCATAGTTTCACAGATATGTATTTAGGAAAATATGAGTTCACAATGAAATAAAATAAAAAAATTGATCATCGAGTAAAAACTTGCTTGAAAACAGAATGTTTGCACATTTCTTGTAGGTAATAATTCTTCTGTATCAGAAAATCTTCTGATGGGAAGAAATGCGGAAAAAAATATATAATGACATATTTTTATATTATCTATTTCAGAGATTTTCTACAACTTTTTTTTATTTAAAACAAGTTTAATTTTCTGTAGATAACTGGATTCGGCATAAAATTCTGCAGATAGTAGTCTTTATTTAAAGCACACTGCGGTGTTGCCATTCTATTTCTCATTTACTAAAACTTCGGTTAAATACATTATCTATATACGAAAAGTGGTAAAAAACTAGAATGAATATAACTTTATTAATACTTAGCTATGTTTTCTTAAACATGAAGGATACCAGAATAAATTCGTGTAGAAAAATTTACTTTATCGTATACAGGATATTTTTTATGGCGTCACAAAAATCGTAATATTTAAAATTTAATGTTGTATCTCATTTTTTTTTAAATGCAACACCTTGTACTATTGTACGTGTGTTTTCTTAAATTTTTAGACGTTTTGCAAATATTTTCTGTATTTCATTACATATATAATTTTCAACGATAAAATATCAGACAAAGATCATATTAGGTGGCTTTGATAAAAATTTACTGTTGAAAGAGCCATATGTAATATAATACTGCGAATATCTGCGAAACCATTAAAAATTTAGAAACGCTTTAAATAAAAAAATGTTCACTTTTTAATTCTGCATATGACAGAAAAATAATATACAGAATGTTGCATTTAAAAAAATTGAGATATACCATTTTAAATATTCCGATTTTAGTGACGCCATAAAAAATACCCTATATAGAATAATGTATATAGAATAATGTAAAATAATTAAAAAAAAATAAAACTAACTTTTCCATAACTTTTTTTGTGACACCCTGTATATAACAAAATATTTTAGGATACGCCCCTTTATAAACCTTGAAACATATTATGAATAAAACTTTTTTCACATCTTCGACAACGACGACGATATTAGACTTCCTCGCATTAATGGGCCACCCTATATATTTACGGTGGTTTAAAGCTAGGTGTGGCACTTTTCTTCCCTCAAATATAAACTCAATATTTTGTCTATAATATTGTGAATATTGTTATATTACGACCACTTATAATAAAAAAAAATAAATAAAAAAACGTAAAAAAATACAGTCCACTAAATTTATAAGAGATTATGCTATTATAAAATTCTTAGATGCTTTAGATGTACAAAATATTTACTCTAAAATTGTTTCAAAAAACAATCTATGTATATAAATGATCTCGTAAATTATTATTGGAATTAAAATTTTATGGCAAATCTCCTGACCAAAAAATATTTGAGACAACCTGTATACCTAAAAAACTATTTTTAAAATCTGCCCACATGCTAAAAAAAGTAATAACATTTAATTAATTACATAATATCTCAGCTTCGAAAATAAACAAATATAATTAAATGTTTATTGATAATTACTATCAGCTTGCCGATTTACATGCGATGGGAATCTAAAAAAATCAAAAAACAATTTTTGGAATTATTACTACAATTAATAGCAGCACACAGTAAGGCACTCATTTTTTGTCAATCCGTCTCTGTGCAGGGACGCAACGCTCGAACCTCGCAGCTCGACGGACGGAATTCAACTGAAACGATTTGCAATCCGCCGATATTCCACAGATTGCAAAAACTGGCAGAAAATATTTGCGAGAGTGCAACTACTCTTTTCCTTAAACTATGGTAATATCATAGAACACATAGGTATTTGAATTGATGAAGCATTTAATTAAATAGATAAAATCTTGGCATTTATAAATTAAGGAAATCTGATGTTTGCCTTTTGCCAAATCCTTATCATCTGATCATAGCTGTTCTCTTTATTTGGTACAGTGCCGCTTTATCCATTAGGCAAAATAGGCAGCTGTCTAGGGCGGCAGGCTGATAGG